GCTGCCGGCCAGGGTTAAACCACGACACTCACCTTGCTGCTGAAGGAGAGAGAAGGTGGCACAATAATCATTCCTGTCTTAAGCCAGGCATTTGCTGCCTTCATCATGTCTCACAATAAAGTAAGAATTCCTAACACTGCCCCCCCTCCAGTGAAGGCAAGCCACCACTTGACCCCTACGGCAGTGGAAAAGCAGCCTTCCACACAGCAAGCACAAACCTCTGATTGCCCAGGCTCCTGCGTTGCATGCCCCGACCCTTTCCTCCTCACCCTCAGCAGCATCTTAAAACTTGGCAGAGGTGAGCTGCAGCGAGGATGGACAAATGTTGGACTGGGAAAACACAGCAGTTTCCATACAGGTCAGCCTTGCCAACATCCTCTTCCCAACCATAGCAAAGGCCAGAAGCTCCAGAAATTCATGGCTGTCCAAATATCTTTGGCTACAGAGCAAATTACTTTTTTTTACCAATCATATCAGCCGGGCCCTCTGCTGAGCGTGAGGTTTACCATACTTTTTTTAATAGCTGATTAGTTCAATCCTCACCAACTACAGTTCAGTTATCCACACACAATTCCCTTCATGAGGATGAGATTCTTCTTCCTCTCCTCTCCCACCTTTCTTTGACCGCTGCCCTGCAGAAGCGTGCAGCCGTCGTACCTACCTGACCCCTCCCAGCGCAGCCAGTTTGTTGCACACCCTCCCACTTCGAAGCCAAGAAACAGGCAAACAGCCCATGGCTGAACCCACTCTGAATCAGAAAGAGACTCTTCTTCCCCAGGAAGGAGAGGCTGACCCGGTAGCGCTGCCTCTGAATCACTCCTCCTTGAGTTCCTCTTAAGAAATGCTACAGGACTTTCTTATTAGTCGCCCTAGAACATACTTTGGGGTAACAAGAGGAACAACAGCAGCTACAATAAGCCACGCTTTATTTACCAACCCCAACTCAGCTTTGCTGAGGCGTTAGATATCTGTGACTCTCCAGGAAAAATGTGCATTTCGATTTCAGGCTCTGATTGAGGCCAGAAGCTTGTAAGTGGGAAATGTTTACCTAGAAAACACCTAACTTCTATTCTGAGCTGCAGCACTGAAGGCACTGCAGTAATGTTTTACAGGCACAGAGAACGCAAATCATCCAACCCAGCCAGGCGTGGAGAAGGACAGCTTATTAAACGCAGCTTTAGAAGTTTCCTGTAGTACCGGTTCCATTATGCAGAGTTTTGCCACCTCGTTCCAGGTGAAGTATGAGTCAGAATACAGCAAAGCTATTTTTAAAAGATCTCTCAGATGTATCCCAGTGACAAATTATAAGAAACATTCACTGCCGATACAAGTCATGGTGTCATGCAGCGTTGCAGATCACAGGACAGAGAGCAGATGAGTGAATGAAGTTTTAATTTAAAGATCTATGACCTGGGATTGCAGTGGGAAGAAGAATCCCTGATTTTATTTTGGGCCTAGGAAAGTAAGTGCACTTACTGTAAACATGGGTTTTTCTCAGAGATGATATTATAGACACAGAAGAGATTTTCAAAGGAGCGTCATCCTTACATTTCAGTGGCACATCCATACCGATATCCTAAGGAGTGCTTTGAAGGTTTGGCTGCCTGATCCTGCTTTGCTGGCAGAGGAAAAAAGCAGGCAATGAACAGATTCCGTGTCATCCCACACCACCCTGGGAGTGGCATTTGCTTTTCTGCTGCTCTCTGCTCCAAAGACGAGACTTTTTTCTTCCTCCTTCCTTTGCCAACTTCAGTGCAAATGCGTCCCAGCCCCATGGCTGTTCTCAGCCTGTTAAGCTGCTGCTCCAAAACTGCACAGCCCTGAGAGAAGTACATTTTATACACACGCTGGTTCCCTGCCCTGACTTACAGAGACAGCTATGCCATCCCAGGAACACTGTAATTTGACTTATCCCTACAAACCATGAAACCTCTCCACTTCCTTGCCGTTATGCTCTCTCTGTGTTGGCCTTCGAGGTTTGAGAACAGCGCAGGAGGTGGCCTGTGCAGCAGCTCCCCGAGGTGTCATCTTCAGCACAGAGTTCCCAAGAAAGCATCCTGGGGGCACCAATGCAAAGTCTTCAAAGCTGAAGCTGAAACCATCTGCAGATGTGCTTTGAACGCAGACACAAGCTTCTCCTCCTGCCCAAGAGAACCAGCTGTGTGAAGATCGTTGGACTTGATGATCTTAAAGGTCTTTTCTGACCTAAATGATTCCATGATTCTAAGATGTGTCAGAAGGAAATGCTAACCCAAGGGCTAGAAAGGCTCACCTCACTCAGCTCCTGCTCTATACAGTAGTCATCAACCTACTGCAAAGGCCCCAGCATGTCCATACGGGAGAAACCCCTGGGCCATGGTTGGCCAGACACAGGATCTGCCTTGGCAGCAGCTGGTAGAGTCCCCAGCAGCCCACACACAACCCATCAAGTCAATGCTGCAGGACAGCGCTCTGCCCATGTAGAAAGCACTCACCCTCACGTGACAGGAAAACCCTTGAAGGTGTCCAACAGCCAGTGTCTTGCCTGCAGCATGGGCTGCCATAAGCATTTTGTCCCTGTTCAGTGTTGCTGCATGACTGCCAACACACTCCTGATGAGAATTTGCTTGGGTTGGATCTTCCCAAGTGGGTGGCAGAGCAGGAGGGCCTAAAGGTGACAACACAGGAAAGGCCCTGCTGCCTCCAGAGCTGCTGGGTGCCAAGACTTCACGGTCTGCAGATATACTCATCGGACCAGCTGAAGCAGTGCTGGACGCCGTCCCGGCACAGCCTCCTGGGAACGCAGGAGCAATACTCGTAGAGCACAGGGCTGCAGCTCCACCACTCCGACCCGCACGGGGGGCAGGCGGCCACTGGGAGGGATGGAAAACAGCGGACAGAAATGCTTCTGCTGCACTGACCCCTTCCTCTCCTTTCTTATGCAGGTAGCTAGCCTCTCATCCCCTGCCAGCTGCTGAAAAGCCACTGGTGATGACCCTGCACCTGTCAACTCACCAAAGAGGACACTTGTTTGGTGCTACCCAAACTCCCAGTAAACAACCACAGAGTGTGACATTGATGGCAAGACATGCCATCCTAAGAGGAACAATTAGCCACAATTTTTTTTTCCCCTAGCAAGCTACTCTATAGAAAGCTGTTGATATAGGCAGGTCTCACCTGGGGTTCAAAACCAAGGGGTGGTTTACGCCCATATTAGAGCAAGAAGGACCTATATGGCTTTAAAGCTGCTGAGGCATGCTCAGTCCCCCTCTCCTGACCAACCACCAAAGGCCAGTTTGAATGATCACTGCTGCCTACAGCTGTGCATTACAATGAAACTGCTCCACATTCAGCAAGCCACAGAGGGGGAGTGACCCTCGGGGCTGGTATCAAAGCATGAAGCCTTTCCTCTTTTGGTTGCCACCAGGCTTTGACATAGAGCCCTTGGCAGTCAATGGGATGGAGCTTGCATGGTTCATACTCGCATCTCACTCCAGCTATTTCATGCTTTAGCAGTGGATGCTATCCTCCAGGCATTTCCAGCAGCATCAGTGAGCACCACACCTGTACAATCTATTTCAACCCATCAGCAGAAAAGACATTTTTGCCTAACAGTAGCCAAAAGAGAGACTTACAGGTCCCCATCTCATCCGAGCAATCTCCACAGTCATTCATCCCGTCACACCTCTGATCAGCATAGATCCAGTACCTGGGGTTACTGCAGTGGAAAACCAGGTATCCCGGAAGGCTGTGGGGCAAGTCACCTGCAAGGGTGACACACAGGACATGCTCAACTCCGTGCACAGACGCACTCGCTAAAATGAGGATGGCAGCTACCAAAGGCTGCTGTCACAGAGGGTCTGTCGGTCCTTCCCTGTGCAGCATGAGGGCACGAACGTCACCACAGAAGGGGAAGCTGCGGTTGGAGAGGGAAAGCAATGCTTGTGGCTGAGCCAGAAGCAGAGTCTGGGTATCTCAGGGCTTCTGCTTTAATGATTTTTTTTCCCCATTGTAACCAGACAATAAATCAACCATGTAAGCATACAGCTTAACCAACAGAGGGAAACTGCATCATGGCTTAAAAAACCACCACACAACCCTAGGAAGATCAGAGGAGTTCAGAGTCCTTGATTCTCGGCACTCCCACTGAGTTTTGGGCAGTGCCACCTCTCAGCATCTGTGCTACAAAGGATCTATCAGGCTTATCTGCTCACATACATTGAGCAGGATCAGAGGGACACCAGCCGCTCTGTCTCACCACGGGAAGACCAGAGCAGGGAGGTCAGTCATAACAAAACCACTCACCACAGAGCCTCTCCTGCTCATCCTCTCCATTCCTGCAGTTGCTGACTCTGTCACAGACCAGGCTGGCTGGCACACAGGTCACTCCATTGTCACACAAGAAACCTGTCCGGTTATTGGAGGCTGTACAGAAGCGGTTCACTGAAGGGAAAGGAAGAAATACTTAATTTTCTAACATTTTCATGGTATGAAGAACAGATCAAGGGGAAGATAGGGACAGTTCCAACATTTATTTGTTGTTCTGGAAATGACCAGGGACCAGAGACCAGGATTGATCTCTGTTAGGTTCATGGCAGAGTCTGCAAACTATACCAGTTGTCTGAAGCATGACCGTGCCCTCCAGAGTTACCACAGCCTTACGGAGGAGGACACCAGAGCTGAGGAATGGCTGGTGGCCACCCAGGCCATGCAAGGCTGGCACAGCCCCGCACCACCCTGCAGGTCCCTTTCCTTCCTCCTGGTCTGTGTCGGGAAGCACCTCTTCACCCAGGGTGATGGACACGAAGGCTCTTCTCATACAACATCACTTTCTGCCACCTGTACCGCCAAAAAATAAGGGCTGTTGGGACACCAACCTGGTGCACGCAGCAAGAGCCCCAGGGCCACCGCCAAGGCCACGGTGGCAGCAAGGACGAGAAGCACTGCAGCAGAGATGCAGAACCGCCTGCTTGGCTGGCAGCGTGCTGTTGAGAGGCAAGAACAAGAGGTGAGGGACTGGGGAAGTGTCTGGCAGGGTTCACAAGGAATTTTGGGGCTTGTAGGGTGGCAGAGCCCATGACACCAATGAGGAGCACTGGGACCAAATGGCATAAATGCTGCGTCTCAGTTGGAGCTCGTGCAACACACTTGGATGCAGAAGGGTGGGGAAGGACAAGCCCCTGCCCAGCCCCATGGGATGGCAATGCCCTTTTCATGGTGGGAGCAGCCAAAACACAGGGCAGGTTGGTGTAAGGCTGGAAAAGGTGTCCTCTAAAAGCCCACAGCAAAACTCCTCCAGAGGTAACATTTTATTTTACAGCTCTTTCAGCCCAACAAGGACTTTAATGCTCCTGCT